GGGGTTGGATTACATCTCCCAGAAATATGGAAGTTGTCATGCAAAAAATGTAATGTTTCCAAAGCTTCAAACCATTTCATTGCATCACCCTTGGGATGCTACCAACTTTAGTATCACTCGGCTTTGTTACAACTCCTCGAGATGTGACATTATTATCTTGGAACTGACAAGAGAAGTAAATGTGAAGGGGGAAATAGTGATTGCCCAAAAATAGGGGCAAGGTGCGGGGACAGATCCCACCAACTTTTAAACCCAACCTAGTTTCCCAATACTTGTCAGACACTTCTCTCCGTTTCCTGCCCAATATGTTTGATTTTTTAAAAAACAGAAGAAAAATAGAACATCTCCGAAGACAATATACAAGATTCAGAACTCCCTGAGATGGGGAAAAAAGATTCCTGACTTATCCACAGACAGCTGCTTATGGCTACGGCTACCGTTCTCATTTCTGCCGGGTGAGTTTTGGGCAGTCTCTGTACCGATGGGCTGCTGGAATGGAAGTCGAGGGACCGATGCCTCTTCCAAGCCTTCAGCTGCGGAACTGAAAACCAGAATCACACAATGTTTGGAATGGAAACTCTTCCTTCCATGCAGGCCTGGATGTGGCAGTTGTGTGATCTCTATAAGTTTCTTTCAACTTTTTTTTTCAATTAAAAAAAAAAAAGCCAGCGTAGAAAAACAGCAGCGAGTGAGCTCCCTTTGTAATATCCTCTGGGTAGCCAACTCCCCCATTTCCCAAATCCTTGCAAGAACACAAATCGGGGTGAATCCGGATTGTAGCAGATGTTTTTGGGTAAGGGGAATCTGACACTCCATAACCAAGATTCCCTTTTGCATCCAGAACCTTGTTATCGGCAGCCAGGCAGGTTGGTCAAATAATTCCCTTCAAAGGGATCCAATCCATCCTGCCGTGGAAAAGAAAAGATTAGGGGGTGGCTTAGAGAAGAATGTGATGTTGGAAAGTTGGCTCTCTCCCTGGTCGCAACTGCAACCTGAGGTCTGTTTGGGCTCAGGAGCTTCCAAATCCTTTTGTCATGGGCACTGGCGCGTCTTTGGAAGGGAAGGTGAGCTTCCGGCGAGCTGGGGTCCAAGCCCGGTCGCCCAAAGCCGGGGTCAGACCATGTTGTCCGAGGAGCTGTGGTTCGTCTTGTGTTGGCAGTTCCTCTCGTTCAAAAGGCTGGTCGTTTCGTCGGTCACGGTCAAGGCGTCCCCCTTTTCCGACAAGGAGGTGTCCAGTTTAGGGGGTCCACCTTCGGGGGACTGGGGGCAGCTCTCGAGACGCGAGGCCATGAGACCATTTTGGTACTGGAGACGGGTGATCTGCAAGATGGAGGAAGCGAGAGAGAAATCTGAATCCTCACCAGGTATGGAAAACACTTGCT